AAAAATATTTTCCAATGGAAAATAAGTTAAAGATTGAAATGAAAAGGTGTTACCCTTCCTTACCCTTGCCATATCCTTTGGTAACAACAACACTGATTTTTGCAAATGGAGTGTAGAGGTAAGGAGAACTATCTCTGTCCGTCAATATGTATGAAATTAAGATGGCGTTACTGTACCAGAAGCAGGGACGCAAATACAGGGGGATAATGGGGAAATTACCCCCCTCTAAGAATGTTTGGACCTAACTTTTTATAGGTACTAAAATCTATTATTATCAAAAATAAAGTCTCAAATATTATTATAAATACCACTACTTCCCACAGACTTAAACTGTGGATGCGCCACTGATCAGGAGGAGGCCAAAAGTTGTGACAAAAAATGTATGTTCAGCAAGAACCTCTTGGCGACGTTGTTAAATACATTAAATCTGTAGGTTGGCTCACGAGCTAGGAGGTGTCTCAACTTAGGAGGCCTAAGTGCTATGAATTAATCTACCCTCCACACGTTGCAGATACAGACAGGTGCCAAATTAGATTTTTAATTTTATTGACTAGATTTTTTATTGATCTTCTTGAAATTAAACATTTAAATGAAAATAAAAATGGTCTATAAAATTCTTTGTTTATTTGTAATTAATGAATTGTTCAAAATACACTTTTTAGTTTTTGATTGTTTTCCAATATACTGTAAAAGTAAAATTTGAAAAAAAATATATATAAAAAAATTTGAACATCAAGTGTACTTATTAAAATGATATATTTCTACATGGAAGTTTTTTTTATTGTGCGTGTCTGTATCCTCGATAAAAAAACAAATTTTAAATGTAAGCTTCTGGCTAATTGGTTCCTACCACAGCCATTCAACTAATTAAAAAAAAATGTAAGCTTTATTCCGGTCTGCGGTGAACTGATTAGATTTTTGGCATAATGGGAACATCTGGAGGGGACTGTATTCGCTCAGTGCGAAGTCATGGTAGGGGAAGCAAAAGCGATACTAGCGCTAGCTGCGGATAATTCGTGCATTTTAGGGTGATATTTTGTAATTTTGGCATATCAAATACACGTATACATTTTAATTTATTTCAAAAAAATAGGTAAAAACAATGTGGGGAAAGCATTTGCACGATTTTGAAGTCGGTTTTTTAAAATTACTTTTAATATAATAAATACTGTTGCCTGCCTATATTTTGTTATTGATTTTTATTGATTATACTCAGTTTTTTTTTAGTTTAAGCAATAAAAATATATAATAATCAATTAATGTTTCACTTGTTTTACAAATCCATATACTTTTAGTAAAACTAACATATATACTTTTTAATTACGATTTCTATTAAAAACTGTATTGTCAGTATACGTAAAAATAGTCCGTTTGTACATAAAAGAATTGGCGCTGCTGTCACGCACAAAGCGAATAGGGGATCGTTTTTATATTTTATGGAATTATGTGTTATTTACGTTTGAAGGAGAAAATTCTTCAAATAAAAGTTACTTCTAATATTCTCCATAATTTGTGCCAGGTACAAAATTTTCCTAAAATCCGTATTTGAGAAATTTAACAAAATGTGCAAAATTCTGTTTTTTAAGAAAATTGTTATGATGATTTCTCTAAAAAGACCATAATGGAAAAATTGGAGGAAAAGTGTAAAATTTAAATTTTTCAGTACTTTTGTTGGAAATGAATATATATAAAAAATGTATCGAGTTAGATGTATGTGGAAAATGTATATATTTAGTTTATCCTTTTAACATTTATAGAGGTGCTACAATAGGTTGTACAAAATAACCGAAAAAAGCCTGTAATAACCAGATAGCAAAGTCATGTGTTGGAAACATCAGATTTTTTAAATATCATAAAATCAAAAGTGCAATCTTTCAAAACAGTTCATTTTAGCCTTTATCTAGTGAAAAATACAACTCGAGTCTAATTTTCAACAACAATAGCTACTTTATTAAATTTATAAAAAATGACAAAACGATCTAAGCAGTGTAAACGATTCACAGCTCATCAGAACAAAAGATGAAAACTGTAATGGTGAACAAATTAAGTTTATTTTTATTGCTGAGGTTTTTAATATTCTAAAAACATAACTTACAATGATGTGCCCATACGTTTAAGATTTAATAAATATACTCCAAATCAATAATTAAGTTAATGCTAGGAAAAGTGAAATGGTTTTCAAGAATAATTTAGAGAATGTTATTTAAAAGTTGGAAAGGCTTTTGCCAGATGTCCCACTTTATACACATAAATTGACAGGTTTGCGGCGGATCTCACCGAAGTGGATGCGATACATTGGCGTACAAAATTATTTTATAGATGTTAATAACAATTTCGAGTAGTTTAATAAATTGTGAATAGCTGTTGAAATTTTGTAAAATTATGATTTGAATATTATAATATATGTTTAATAATTATTTATAATAATTAAATACATGCAATTGTCCGGTTCGGCGGGTAACAATTTAAAATTACTTATTCTATGAAACGACACTGGCAGGTAAACATTACTCCGAAATTCTCGAAGCCGTCCGATGTGGTTTGACGTTTACCCCCTCTCTACCTACCAAAAACCTTTCCAACTTCTACTTGTGCTATACAGTATTTATATTCAAAATAGAATAAATTTTTAGTCCAAGGGTGTAATCTTAATGATGATGAGGACCAAGATAATGGAGACAACTGCAATGAACAAGATGGCTTTAATTTTCAGAAAATTAAAGTAAACCTGCAAATTAATATGTTTTCTGTCGTAAACGTTTGGTTCTGAATATAATTTAAAAAAATAATCAAGCAGAGTGCAGGAACGCAATATTTATAATCATGGCTTTTCTTCTACAAACATTGAACATTCACTGTGTCCTGTCAAATAATTTAAATGTTAAGGGCAATAATAGTGCTACTTTGTAAAAATATAAAATCAATGGTTAGTTTTAACTTAGTAGAGAGATATTATAAAAGATATCTTGGGTAAATCGGCAATTCAAAGCAGTTTAACATAAGGGATAGTATTGCGAAGATCGTAAACATAATGTCTTAACTGTTACTCCTAACGGCTTGAAGAAAGTTTATACGGGAACAACTATTAAAAAAACAGAATAAGTATTTGAATTAAATAAATTTAAATACCAAATGTATTAGACAGCAAAGTCAATAAGGCCTGAATTAAAAAAGGTAAAGCCACTATTACTTTCCTGATACGGCTGTTTCGTCTTTCACGATGCAATAATGTAACATAAAATTTGTAAGTACAGAAGCTATTAAAAAAAAGCATGAGTAAAAATCTGAATTTAATAAATATAAAAAGCAAATGTGACTAATACAATTTTGATAATTAAACATGGTATAAATAGACATGGTAGTGCTTTTTGAAAATTGATTGTTAGGGGAGATTTCTAAAGAAGTTCGGCACGGGTTCGATTTGAGTTCGTACTGTAACATATTTCTTGTCAAATAACTTGGTTGTTAGCTGGCCCAAAACCAATGTGACACTAGATATAAACAACCAAAAAACTCTCCTTATTTGATAAATTTGGAACAAACGATATAAAGGCCAAGGTACTTGGGTCTTAAAAACATAGGCATTACCGACAGAATAAAAAAAAATAAATAAGAAGCATGATCTGAATTTAAAATGAAAAGAAAAAATTTCCAATATTACCAACAGTAGCAGCAGTTTTTTTGAAGATTATTTCAAATTTTCACGACTAGTTGAAGCCATGTAGCCACAGAGTGTGCAACCAAATCGCATTAACTTTCTTAATTTGTATGTCATATTAAGTTGAATGAAGTTCATCTGCTACACTATCAACACATAAAACTTTTGATTCTAAGAGGAATAAAGTTGAAAGGAAATGCATCAACTGGTAGATCTCTACGAGTGCCAGGAACTTTAAACTTATCATGAACAAGTTTTTTACATGCTTAATAGTTTTTATAAATTTGTTGTTGATTTATTGTTAAAAAACAGACTGCGAATAGCCCTATATCCAAATATAAAATGAACCATTATCACGATCGTTTGGGAAAACGATATCTTTTCAGGTTGTTCGCAAAACAATTTGGCACACAACAATACGGCATTATTTTAACCAAAAAATCACACAAAAATTTTTAAAAAATGCTCACAATTGTCAACTATATCAAGTAAACAATAATTTACAAAATACTTACTTTTATCCTTCCACGACACTCACGAAAATAAATATAAAATATTTAATGATGACAATGAGAATGACAAATGACGTAAATGATCTGATTACGATTTACCGATACCTGAACATTCAAAGTAGGGTCCGGTACAATTAGAACACCTCTACGTCATAACCATTACTTCGAATTTCGAATACATATTACCTATAACTAGCAATAAATAAAAAATAAGTAAGTTGTTAGGTATAAAACAATATTTCCTATAATATTAAAATATTAAAACTCCACTAAACCCCCAGTAGAATACGGTAACCAATTAATTACTTTGCCAAATGATGACGTAGCTGTATTCTTCTAATTAAGTGTAAAGGTTAAAGAAAAGGTCCTTTATTTCTTACAAGTGACCTGTGAGAAATAAAGGACCTTTTCTTTAACCTTTACACTTAATCCCTACTACTCACATATGGCTACCCTCACTCCAAATTCTTCTAATTGTAATTGGACCCTACAAACCTAACCACATTTAAAATTTTGACAACTACGACACTATTGACACAGCCGTAGCATTGATACTTTGTTAAAAAAATGACGTCACACTATCACGGGCCATTAGTAACGTCATTCCAATCTAACTTGTTAAATAAATAATTGACAGTGTCACCATGTATTCTTTTATTAAAGATCTCTCTAAAACGTTTGCATAATCAGATTTTCTGTTTTAAAATATACCTGCTGGAAACAAGATCCGCGGCCGGCGGCCGTTTTACTCTCCATTACAAATTTGTTGACTATAGACACAAGTCTCAGAGACTGAATAAATTGACTGATACTCTGATTTTCTTTTAAAGGCTTCCATCAAGGAGGGTTATTTACTCAAACAGACGTGGTCGTTCCAAAGATGGAGAAGGCGCTATTTTAAACTAAAGGGACGCAAATTATATTATGCCAAAGATACCAAGGTAAGATTTTTAATATATATTTTTTTTGATTAATAGAAATATAAAAAACAATTGATGTAGAATCCCTGTGTAAATTACTCAAATTTAATTACTTTTTAGTCAGATTTTGACTAAATTATACATCCAATATTGCCAAATCTGCTTCTGAAACATGAAATTCGATGCAATAAATTTGTCACAATTCCATAATTTTCAATATATCCATATCTATTAGTGACGTGCCATAAGCAATATTTTGAACATGGTGCAGGTGAGAAGACGACAATCTGGGTAACAGAAGCTAAAAAATTAAATAAGAAACTAATTTCAAGTCAATCGGGCTTATAGTTTTGGAGATCTGGTGATGAGTGAATAAGTGGTATTTCACTTTTATATACAAGGTGTCTCGAAATTAGACGGTCATGTTTTAACAGCGTATTCTACATCCAAAAATAGGAGTAAAAGTTCCCAGGCAGCACACTTTGGTATAAATTACGTTTTTTTTTAAGTACTACCATATGTATGAATACGGTTGATGTACTACCAAATATATTCGTGAAAATGTCCGCCTTATAAACGTCGATTACTAAGAATTTATCCACCTATAATTATACGTTTTTACTATACGTCTATATTAGATTTATAGTTGTAGTATATTTATACGAATCCACTTTGGTATAAAAGACGTTTTTTTATGTACTACAATATACGTATGGATACCGTTGATATGCTACCCAATATATACGTGAAAATGTCCGCCCTATAAACGTATATTTTTTTTTTATTTTTTATACGTCTAACATTACTACTTTATCTACCTTTTATTATCCTGTTTTACTATACGTCTATATTAGATTTATCTTATTTTATTAATGTGTAAAATGCGTCTACCTGATATTGTTTTAAATGTATTTCAAACACAAATTAAATAAAGTGATCAAAACAAAATTTCTAAAAGAGGCCATGGAAAAATATTAATATTTCTTAAATGACAGTTTGGATATCATCCATAGCAGAATACACTAGAAATAGGTATTACTCGTGTTTCTATTTTGGTTGTAATTGGCCTAAATATTTAGGAAATTTTTTTGATCACTTGTTATATGTACAGAACAATATTTTATTAAAAAAAAAAAATAAACAATAAAATACTAAAAAATAAATAAGTACTAAAAAATAAACACTAAAATATTGAATAACAAACTAAACGAAACTTTTCTTTAACTAACAAAAAATATATATGAAAATTAAAATCTTAGCTTAACACTTTGGATGTGTTGTGTCCTAGACAGGCCTTAGCTAACTTAAGCCAATCTTGCATAACACTTCTAATCGTTCGGTCGGTTAAGTCTCTTGGTTCACCCCCATTCCTATAACCAAAATGTAACTGAATTTCAGATGAAATATTTTCTAAAAGCTCCAAAGTTAAATTTGTATTATTTTCTAGGAAATTATTATAAATAATAGAATCAGATGATATATTAATGTCCGAAGCCTTTTTAATGTTATCTTCATTGGGAATAAAAAAAAATTGATTTGACTTTAAAGCATCTTGAACATTTTGTGCTATTTTTCTTAGTAGATGACGCCGAGACAGGGTTATTTTAGACATTTTATTAAATAAAAAACAACTGACCAAAAAAAAGGAAAATAAGTATGCTTGGAATAACTAGGTAGCCTAAAAAATACGTATAGAAATACGTATAAAAATAAGAGAAACAAAAGTAAGGTTATGTTTTAGAGTTTCTATAAGCATTTTACACACTGTAATAAAACAGTAGTTGTTGTAAAATGCAACAATTATTAAACGAGTAGCTAAATTAAAACATTAATAGAAACTTACCTATGCTTTTAACCAATATCGTAAAAGCCAGGACGCCAAAGCAACATGCAATGTAACTGGGCACAACAACAACAACAACAACAACAACAACAACAACAACAACAACAACAACAACAACAACAACAACAACAACAACAACAACAACAACAACAACAACAACAACAACAACAACAACAACAACAACAAAAACAACAACAACAACAACAACAATAACAACAACAACAACAACAACAACAACAACAACAACAACAACAATTTCTGGACACCCTGTATACCACTCATTGACTCATCACCAGATCTCCAAAACTATAAGCCCGATCGACTTAAATTTGGCATAGTTACTCCTTTCTCGACATGGACACCCATTAAGAACGGATTTTATAAACATCACATTTTAAGGGGGGAAACGGGAGGAGAAAGTTTGATGAGAGCATGGAACTTTTTAAAGGTAGGAACTTAAAAATTGGAATTATAGCTATTCATTATAAATTAATAATGACGTATTTAAGGGTTTTTAGATTTTTACATTTTAATGGGAGGAAATTGGGGTGGACATTTCTATTAAAGAAACAAAGAGAATATTGTCGAATAAACAAAGGCAGTCCAGAGAAATCGAAAGACTAAAAAAATATGAATCATAATCTTGCAATTTATGCTTTTAAATCTTCCCCAATTTCAGGAGTTCTTGTGGAAGCGCAAGAGCTCCCTCTTCACTTATAAAGACAATTTCTAGCACGCAGAAAGTTAAATTTAAAAACAGCCCACTTTGGCTAAGGCCTCTTTTAAATCAATTTATAAATAAAAATAAGTCTTCCTATACTTCAGTTTAATTTTTTCTCCTTATTGTTCAAGCCAACAATCTTATGCCCTGAGTTTACTACTTCCCCTAAAATTACTAATATAATCATAAAATCGGTAGTAGGAACGCTAGATACAGTTAACATGATTTTTCGCGATGGGTCTAAAGGAAAACATGGTACAGGATGCGCTTTCTACGTGGAAAATGATTACTTTATTTCGCAATTTCGTTTACCAAATTACTCATCTGTTTATACACCGGCAGTATTTGCAATTAGAGAAAGCAAATCGATTAGTCTTACAGACCCAAAATCTACTTTATTTTCAATTTCTGCAACATTAATAAAAACTCTATTATAAAAGAAATTATTCAGACCTTCCTTTCTCTTGATAATTTTAAAACCCAGATCGTTTTTATTTGGGTTAAAAAAGGAATTAAAAGAGGGATAGCTGGGAATGAAAAAGGTGGATTCAGTTGCTAATGAATTTATTTTTCTTCCAATAATTAGTAATATTACTTCATGTAATGAAGAGAGGGAGGATCAAGCTGGGAGAAACTTTGGGAATATTTCGTTACTCATTTAAATAACCCATATACATTTATTGATCTTTTTATTTTAAAATCTATTCCTCACAATACAAACTTTAAAATGTCTAGGTATTATTGTACGACCTTAACACGGATGAAATTAAATCATGGGGGTTTTCCGTAATACCTTTTCAGAATTGGTATTAATAATATCACCTTTCTGAGAATGTGACAATTCTTCTTTGACTGATCAACTATTTTATTTTTTCTTATAGTCGACCATAATTATCATCGTTCATATTTCCTTGTAAACTTTTTCTTCTCTAAATATACTGTTTTCATCATTTATTTCTATTTTATTAAGTATATTTGATGAGAAAATATATATCTTAATTATTTAATTTTTAATTAAAGAAAATATTAAAATATTACAAAGGTCAGAGGCAAAAAAAACTACGTTTTGATGCCAATTCTCAAAATAAGTCAAAATTCTAATATACTTAAGGACTACCCTGTATATTTTGGAAATAAGAATACCGTCAATTATATTGGGCTCGATAATATTCCAATGTCTCCCTTAAACCACTTGGATTCTGAATTGCACTGTATAATTTTATGACGTAGACACTAAGGTAAGATTGAGTGAAGAATCTGAATTTCAGATGATACGATATCCCGTTATTCGGATAGAATTATAAATTTCACTTGCAAATTGCCTTTCGGTGGATTATTAAGTGAACGCGATTGTTAGTTAAGAACTGATTTATGCACGCTAATATTATAATTACCTCGAAAATTTGTCTCGCGAAATCTTGATTTCATTTTCGGTAGAATTAAACTTACAGAGAAATTCATCATGTTCAAATTAAACATATCGTCTCTATACAGACTAGGGCTACTTATAGAGTGTTATCTTGTAAATACAATGCATAATAATGTACATATAAAGTAAGTAAACCTAGTAAATGCTTAAAAACTATTTATTTTTATATCAATTATATCAATACTTAACAAGATATGAACTAAATATTAGTATTAATCTTTAATATTTCTCCCTCCAAGTAACTGTTCTTCACTTTCTAATATCAAGAGCAATGAGTTTAGATTTTGTTTCATCAAGTATGTATCACCATGTATTTCAACATTAAAATTTGATTTTTCTCGAAAACGGTCGACTTTATAGCGTATGACCAAGAGTACCTTTTTTGTGTAGAAAACATTGGCGGTTCAAATGGGCGTCTCAAAACTGTACTTTTTCCAATGACGTAGAATTTTTTTTTTCAATTTCAACACCCTGTATCTCGAAAATGGTGCATTTTAGAGAGTAAGTTAATCGAAACGTTTTTTCATATTTTCGGACTAGCTATCACGTCCTGAAGTCCTGCGCATATATTATAAAACACCCTGTATACCTATATTTAAAATGCCAAAATTACAAAATATCGCCCTAAAATGCACGAATTATCCGCAGCTAGCGCTAGTATCGCTTTTACCTTTTCCACCATGACTTCGCTTGAGCGAATACGTAACAACGCTAACAAATATGGTGAAAACATTCGGTTATAAAGTTCCGAAACTTATCTGTTAAAGATCCGAAAAGTTATCCGAAAATTGAGATGTTAAATTCCTTAAAAATCGCCAAACTAATCCCAAAATCACCTCTAAGAAATAATGAAAATTATTTTTTAACTCCCAAAGTCGAAACAAATTTAATAAAAAATTGTGTCCACGGGGGGATTGGAACCCAACTATCCATGTTCTATGCACACCGATCTTACTAACTGAGCTATCCTTCAATACCAGCAAAAGGCCGACAATATCCCGGCAATTCATTGTTTGTTGAGATCTAGC